GGTGTGTATTCTCCGTTCACAGCGCAGCCTCCCTTACCGGCACAGAGCGTTCCATGTCTGAGCCGGGATTGTATCTTGAGTCCACTTTCAACGGCTTGTCTGGCTACAATAATGCATGCAATCTCTCAGCAGTTTCGCTGCGCTGGATCGGGGATCCCGTCGTTGTATATTTAATGCTGAAGTCGCCGCTTCAAAAATTCCAACGCTCTCCGCCACGAGTTTTTCATGACGAAACAAAATGGCTCGGGGCGAGGATAGAATTCGGAGCGAAAATATAACGACCGTGTCTGATCGGGAACATGGGGGGAGTTTGTTGTCCTTCCCGGACCGAATTTTAAGCATCATCGAGCCGCGGCAGCCCTCACGAAAATGACTTTATTGTGAAAATTTTGTCAATCGACAGATCCGGATCCAGCACGCTCTTCGACTGCGAATCTTCGACAACTCTCGCGAACTCTCCCCGCTCGAGTCGTCGACGATTGATTCAGTGACTTCCCGGAGGGATTCCGAGGGAAACGAAGCCGCGTTCAGACGAGAAGAATCGTCCCGAAATCCAGGTAGAGTTATTCTGCTGCGGAGTTTCGAGAATCGAGTAAACAACAGCGAAAGTGAATGTCGACGCTGTGTTTCATCTACATTCCTTTCGGGTATCTTGACAAGAGATCCTCTCGAAATCGAATCCTTCGAGCCCCATTCTTCCCTCGGTACGCCTCGGAAAGAGAAGTTGAGGAGCCCTTGAATCACCTGAGCTCGGGAACGGGCGAGTCGAGAGGAATCCCCCAATGGGACTCATTTCGCTGCGAAAACATCGTTACATACTCCGGTCCATACATTGTGCATAAGTGAGCTTGCCAAATATCATGACGCCGTGCCCGTCTCCGATTGACTGTTGAGCGCGTCAGTGTCGCGGTCGTTCGTAGAAAATTGAAGATGGGGAGGGACCATTGAGCCTCGGCTGGTTCCCAAGAGCAATCCATTCCGCCGCGCCCTCGACATCGACCCTGCTCGCGCGCGCGATTCTCCATGCAACCATTTGACGGCACGTTTCTTTGCGCAACACTTTCCTCCAACGGCCGTCGTAACAAGCGGCGACGCTATTCTTAAAAAACAAGGCGATAAGCCCTCGGAAGGAACCGGGAATACAAATGCGAGAACCATTAGGCCACAAGGCGCATGAAAACAGAAACAAGGAGCAGCCCGAACATCTCTCGAGGGATCGTGACGGCGTCTATTCCGACCAGATCGGGCTTCCCGTCGAGAGACTGCAGTGAGGCTTATAAGTACCTGAGCGAAAAAGTTGCACCCGCATAAAGCCCTTATTGATTTAATGATCGTTGACGGCCCACCACTCTCCTCCGTTATCTGAGGATATTACCGCGGCCGGCGCATTCACGCCTCGGCATCGAGGAAACGAGATCAAGCTCGCCGTTTGAGTCACGCTGGCTCCGCGTCCGGATATCGTTATTTGATCAATCGGTGCACCAATGAAGGCTCTTTTCTTGGTTGGCGTTCGCCGTCTACGCCCCTGATCCGCAAGCAGCGCCATCGAGAGATTTCCCTGAGGAGCTGAACCTTTTTCTCTCAATTGAGCATTTGTTATTCGTCCTCACCTCGAAACGTATGGGTGAGGGATGTGTTCCCTCGTGCACAGAATCCTGAAAGGTGACGTTACGAAAAATCCCCGTTGGAGCAGTTTGACTCCCCGGCTCGATGGAGTCTCATTGTTCCTGGTCGTCAAAATCCCCTCTGGTCGTTCCAGTCGAGCCGCGATGCGCTGATATCTCGTTCAGAGGGCTTCCCGAACTGCCATCCTCCCGTCGATGAATCCCGATCTGGAGGAGGATACTGATTGAGCGAAAATGTACGTCAGCCGCTCGCGGCGAAGCCGCCCACGGAGGGCACAGTCAGCAGCTGCTACCGCTTCATTCGGCGCAATGGGTCGATCACAAAAATGGAGGCAATGATCAGGAAATGAGGCGGTCCGTGAGTATCAATTCGACCATCCCCAACTCCCGCCAGACCGCGGATTACTGATTGTCGGCACCGCGATGAGATTCGCCGTCGCGGGAGCGTAAATACATTACGGAGATGGCAGTCTCACTTTCGGTGCGCTTTCCTTCCTTTGCTATGCCTTACGATTTAGCGGGGCGTATTCGGGGCCATTCATTTTCTCCGCGGACCGACGGAACCCTGTCTGGACCGGCAAGGCTTGTGGATGCGTTTGACCTACAGTCATTGTTTCCAAGGCCAAATACGAGTAAGAAGGCGGATCCGATGGGGTCACCGCTCTTCCGGACTCTCGAGAATGACCTGGGTCCCACCAGGCGGTTGTGAATATTTTGTCGCCGGACCGCGCTTCTCTTGATGCTCTCGTGCATATCTTGCCTTCGGTCATCGGGATAAATGGGCGCAGGATACTGCTTTGTTGAGCCCACGATACTAAAGCGTAGGCTCCGGGTAAGAGGCTCCAGACGCCGTAACCCGATGCCCGAACCAGCGAGCTTCGCCAAGCGTCCCCGAGACCCATCTTCCACTTGGGTATTCAGTTTCTGCAACCGTCTCGACATCTAATTAGGGAACCGAATGCGCTCGGTGACCCGATGACTTCCTGGAGGAAGCGTCCTCACCCCGACCGATGCGAATCGAGTGAGCCGTTAAGTGATACTCTGCGGCTCACGCTTCCTTGGGCCGAGAGGAACGGCCTCTCATGGAGCCGGCCGGCGGATGAAACTCGCTTCGCCGGTGAATCCAAGAAGCAAGGACCCGCGACGGCTTGGGTCCTACATGTACATGTTTGAGCTACACGAGCTCGTGGTCGTATGAGGGGCTGACAACGAGTCGTCAGTATGTCTCGTCGCGAGCCACCGGATGATGTTCTCGGGTGACCGTGCAGACTCCGTGGAAGCTTCTCTATTGGAAAGTTCCGGAGAAAACTCAAACATCGACGAGACTTTCTCGAAGAACCAGGAGCGAAAATTCCGGTTGATCCAAAAATCCGGTCCTGTTTTCCGGCAGTTACGATCACTGGTCAGGATCACAGTAGCGATTCCTTGGGGTCGGGAGAGCCGGTCACGTAAATAAATTGAGCATTGACAGTCTTTCTCTCGATTCCCGAAGGCTGACGCTGAAGAAATTCTCTCTGCGATCGTTTCTGCTCAGTTCCGTCTGGAATTGTTTCTGTTCAGTTCCGTCCGTAATCGTTCTGAGTTTGGTTAGGTAAACTTAGAGGTTTCTCTGTTCTGTACGGTAAGCTCATACATGTGTCTGGTTCTTCGGTTTTGCAAATCTAAACTGGGTCGATGGTCCCCTTCGCTCATAGCGAACAATGCAGATATTTCCTTCGTCTGCGGGAAAGAGAGAGACTCTAAGACTTTGAGTGAGAGCAGCGAGCTCTAAACAGAGACACTTGAGGGCGTTCTCTTCGCGAAGAGTGTCGCCTTCTTTAATAGCAGGCATTAAGCTGTCATCGCGGGGAGCAAGTGATTTGAAAAATTACATCAAGCCACTTCGCTCTTCCAGAAGCAAGAATCCCTCCCGGGTGAGGGTCTGACAGTATGAACGAATTATTTGACCTCAATTCACTACGCTCACACTCCGGAACTCGTCTCTTGACCTGGGCGATGAGCCTGACGTCCCGCGATCCAACAGAGGAAGCGAATTTGCATGGACTTGAACTTCCGATTCTGAGCTCCGCGTCGTACCCCGAGGGACGAAAGGGGCGTGCCCTTTTCTGTAGGCTCAAGGCAACCTGACTTCTGGAAGCGACACATCAAATCGAAGTGCTCTCCTCAGAGTGCGTCTGCGATCCTCGTCCTCTGGGTCCTCCTCAAACACTTCTCACCACATCCGTTGGTTGAGCGTCCGCTCCCGTGGGTCGTGACCTAAGATTTCCGTTTGTGATCTGGTGCGATGTCGCAACTTAGTCTCGCTCACCTAGAGAGACTGACGCTCCTCCGGCATAGCGGAAAAAACGTTCGCGTCTGAGTTGAGCACCGACATCTAGCCTCGGGCGGATCATATCCACAGGGGAGATCGAGATAACAAGCTAAGAGAAAATCTCCATGCGGAGCGTCCGCCGGACTTATTTGAATACGAAATCGTCCTGGGCAGAACAACGACCCCCCGTCCCTCCCTCCCCTTCTCCAGAAGAGCGGATCATCCGAAGGATCGAGTGGCGACGGGAAACAGGATCAGCTCCTTTGTGAAGCAGGGGAAGTGTTCAGAGCATCAGCGACACGAAAAGCTTTCCTCCCAGTATCAAAGTTCGTCGGGAACTCTCGTTCTGCCCGGAAACTATTTCCTAACTTTTGATTTATGTCCCACCACAACGAAACAGCCGGCGATCCGTTTGAGGAAAAAGTTTTAAGCGAGGCGCATGGGCGCTTCGGTGGCTTCTTCAAGCCGCGCGGGACCGAGGTGAGTGAATCCCCCGCAGTCTCGCTCGGATCGGGACTCCGTTCGGATGCCGGAGAGTTGATGCATTGAAATGTTGTACGGATTCTTCTAGGGATTGGACGATTCCTAGCTTGTACGAGACGTATTGAGGAGCCATATGCGAATCCCAGTATTGTGAATTGCTCGACGATAGACAGACACGGTTGCCTCGCGCAGTGTATGGCTGGCGTGAACGTTTTTCTCGATAGTCAGCATTCTGTAGCCCCGAGGTAGCGCCATAATGTTAGATATGACGGCTCGTATACGGTGCGCATCCATGCGCGGGGAAACAATGCCTCGATCTCTGAGTTGAAAGCTTCAAAGCATCAAGCGTCTCGGGTTGAGAGGAACCGTGTTGTTTTTCACGCCGAGTGCTCCACAAGGCGCTATTGAGAAGAGCCGAGTCATCTGTTGAATCAGCTGTTGCAGCCTTGACGCACGTTGTTCCGTGTTGTTCTACGCTCCTCTGTACGGTTTTCCTAGCCGCGGCCGCCAGCGCTCTCTCCTACTATTGAGGGAGGGTCAGCGAGGGATTCGGATACCCTCGAGCACCAAGCCTCATTCAACTTCAGCCGGCGAACTCCGGACAAGTCGACTCTGGCAACACGAGTCCTGCTTCAATCTTCAGAGCCCAAGTGCCTTCGGAATGTTTGCTGACATGCCTCGGAGCACAACATCGATCCTCCTCGATACGACCTAACCTCCATAAGGGACCGTCCAAAACCTCGGGAAAACTCGCGATTCGGATCAGAGAACCCAATGATGGCTTCCTCGGCGTTCTTGTGCATGTTGTTCGTTCTGCTACTTAGATTCGGGCCCGCGATGTCGTGTTCACCGCCGAAAAACAGCTCGTCGGGCTGCATCGAGGCGGCAACTTTGACAACGCTGAACAACACACGGCTCCATACCGGCGAGGATCCGGACGTGAAGGAGCCCCGGTACCGACCCCTGGAATATACGATCGTTGGGACAGCTTCGATGGGAAGTATTTTTGTGATTGGTGTCCTTGGAAATGTGATGGTGGTTCTCGTAGTCCTTCAAACTCGGTCGATGCACACGCCGACGAACTGCTACTTGGTGTCGCTGTCCTTGGCAGACCTAATGGTGCTCATATCTTCGGTACCGAACGAAATGATGGCCCAGTTCATCCTCGAAGACGAGTGGGTCTGGGGACGAGCCGGATGCAAACTATTCATCTTCACTCAATACCTGGGAATAAACGCATCTGCCCTCTCGATCACGGCGTTCACGGTCGAACGTTATATAGCCATTTGTCTACCGATGAAAGCTCAGACTGTGTGCACTGTGAATAGAGCGAAGAAAATTATTCTGTGTGTGTGGCTGTTTGCTCTGTGTTATTGCGCGCCGTGGCTCTTCTTCCTCACCACCACGACGCCCATACATTATCGAGGGTTTGAGAACTTCTACAAAGAAACGTGCACGTTTTCGTTGGCGCGTTCCTTCTACATCCATTTCTTCTTCGCCGACTTCATACTGTTCTACGTCGTGCCGCTGATAATGTCGTGCGTTTTTTACGGACTGATGGCACGCGTCCTATTCAAACCTGACATCGCCTCGGCGACGAAGATCTGTGGGGACCTCAAAACCAATATGAACGGAAACAGCTCATCGAGGGTTCAGGTGAGGTCGGAATTAATTCAAAGGCAGGAATGCCTCGGTACAAGTGCACCGAGGCTCCACTCTATATCTTGAGCTCGACGGCAAGAGACCATAGGGATACATCCCTATGGCCGAAACTCGTAATTTCTTGCTTCACAAGCGAGAATCCTGGGGAGATCGAATCCATGTGGTCACGCTGGCGCGGATTGGTCCAGACGAAAGTCATTTACTTTGTAGAATTACCTGTACTTATACTCTCTTGATAAGAACCCGACATCGATTTGCTTCTATTGTGACACACACACCGAGACGTCTGGCCGTAAGCGGATAGAGCTGAACCGAGAAGGAGATAAGTGCCCTGACCACTTGCTGTCGAATGATTCTCTATTCTGATGTTCTGACGAGAGTTCAGATTTGATTGATGCGCCTGCTCTCCCTGTTTCCATTCGCATTTTCAAGGGGAGGATTTCTGAGTTTCCGCTTGCCTCAGATAACGCATTGAGCTAATAGCGATGAAATCTCGTTCCTCCTATTATCTGAATACCGCCCATCTGGTTGTTCCCATTCTCTTTTTTGTTGCCTTGTCATTCTGGAAGAATATAGTTCACGCCGCGACCTTGCACAGTCGTCGAGACGCTCGGCTCGGTGGAGCCGTGATGGAGCCAAATCATTATGGATGCGTACCCGTGATGCTGTGAACAAATCTAGCTTCCGAGCGAAAATCACTCTGGCTCATGGTAATTTGGTTTCGGCGGCGACGTTCGCGCCTGCCCCGTTTGCGGGGCCGATTATTCTGGCATTCCGCTGCGATTGATCGTCGCTGGTTCTCGTCAACGGTTTTCATTAAGAGCTGGAAACTCCAGGGATCCCAATTCTACTCGAACTAGACTTCCAATTCATTCCCGACTTCGGTTACAAACCTCGATTGTCGTGACTTGTTCGAGCGAGCTACTGGTGTTTGGCGTAGCAGATGAGTCGATCCTTTGTTCATCGCTTAGTGAGGAGCGCGAGTCAAACTCGAACGAAAGTTTTTTGGAATGTTTTCGAGACAGCAAACAGAGTCGAACTTCCCTCGTCGAGCGCCTCGAGAGACAAAGCACACTTCGACGACCGAAATTAGACAATTGCAGCCGGGTCACCGACGTCACCTACGCCGTTTCTGCTCGCCGACCGTCGCTAGAATCTGAGTCGACGGTGGTCGAATAGCGGGATCACCGGCAGACTGTGGGGTCTGAGACAGTTCTTTTGGTGAATTTCTTCGGTGAGAGCTCTGTTCGGAAAGCGGCAAAGCGATCCAGCATTCGAAGCCTCCCATTCCATTGTCGACCAAGGTGCGGGGTAGCCGGCCCGAATGAGGCGCCGGCGTTCGGATGCCAATCTCGTCTTCGAAGATAAACATTCGCTGCTCCTCGCGGCAAAACGATTCGCAACACTCGAATTCCCAGCCAATAATCGCTATGATCCCGAAACATTCTCCCCAATCCCCCTCCAAAAGACCGATTCGAAAAATCCTTCCCATGCGGGAGATGGCGCACGTAATATAAGGCATACCCAGCATCGTCGTAAGGCGTGCAAGCGCATGCGTCGGGTGGGGAGATTTCCCGAGGGGCCGTGAAGCTCAATCGCAGCTCGAGTATTTCGCCCGAGAACTCAAAAGGCCCAAGATCACGTGACCGCGAAGAGCTCACGATGACGCGGCGTCCATAAATTTCCTCTGTGTCTGATTTATGCTCGTCGACATCTGATTATGCAGGTCTAATGTGGTGTTCGCTCGTTTTTTCCAGGTGGTAAAAATGCTCATCGTGGTTGTCGTGCTTTTCGCGACGTTGTGGCTTCCCTATCGAGTGCTTCTGGTGTACAATTCATTCGCTGAGAAGCCCTATCTAGAGCTGTGGTACTTAATGTTGTGTAAAACATTGATCTACATCAACTCGGCGGTCAATCCGATCCTCTACAACGCGATGTCCATCAAATTTCGCAGAGCTTTCCGAAGAACGCTATCTTGTGGTAAGCACACTTCGAAAGGACTGTACTCGCCTTCGAGCAGGTGCGCTAAGCATAAGGGGAAGCATTCCTACACCCAGAAAAATCATCTCAACCACTGTAGCAGACGGAGCTCGACATCGAAGCCCGATATCTCCTACAAGCCGCCTACGGTCCGTTTTGACACCACGACAACGGTTATGAATCCGGAATCTGCATCGAGAAAATCGTCGAAGTACCGTTTGAAAACAAGAAGAGATACTCGCCAAATGCTGTAGCCAAATTAAAACTGGGTTGCTATTGCTGCGATGTATACATGACTGAGATGTAGCCTGACATCGTTTCCGATCTATTCGGATTTCTCGGAAAGTTCAACACGCATTCGGAATTGAAAACCCGGAAATGGACCCATCCATAATGTCTCGACAAAGGGCTTTGAATGTTCTCTGAGAGCGGGAACAATAATCATTGACATGGCTGTGGGGATTCTTATATGTACTTCTACCATTTTGAGATAAGAGCTCTACCGAAAAGCGATCCACTCATTGATCATAGGCGGCCGATTCTGTATACCAAGCCTGAACTTTATTCTTCTTAGGATCATACGAAATCAAAAGGTTATGACCCAAAAAATCGGAACAGCATTGAGACGGTCGGTGGATCCGGTGATGCCTTCCGCAGTGAAAGTCGGACGAGGAAAAATGTGCTGATCTCTGGCTAATTTGAGGATGACAGTCACAATTCATTCGAACCTGGGCTCATAGAAGGGATCGCGAGAGTGTTTTAAGTGCTCAGGAGCCGCTAATCGATATCTGCGCAAATTTTTCTGGAAGTATCCAGGCTGATCGAAGGTTGAAAAACTACCCCTCATGAGAGGTAGTACCGTTCTTTCCTGGCACATTCCCATACGTATCCCAGGGAATTCCACATTCTTTCCGAGTACCTTATGCTTCCGGAGAACAAGGTCCGCGCTACGGTGGATTTTCGTCAACGGGAGAAAAATCACCTTCGAAGCAAAATAATAAGTGCCCTTATCGCGGTTGCTCATCGCTCAGCCTATCTGCCTGGACTGGGGCTTCGTCTCGAACGATAACGCAAACGAAGATCCCGAAGAGCCGAGACCAGACTCTCGACTCGGAGTGCTCTTTGCAGCCGCTACGGCTAAATCTGCATACGAGGAATCGAAGAAACCATGAGCGAGACCGTTTCCGAGCAGAAGGTAAAAAGCGAATTGGGAGCAGCACCTGGATGGAGTTTTTAATTGAAATGCTAAATTGCACCTGTGAGCTTCTCCTTCGCAAAAAAAACTAAACGTCGCACATCTTCGCTGAGATGTATGTTTGTTTGTGTGGGAAGAGTAAGTTCCGTGATAATAGTCTTGAAATACGGACCTTATTTTTCTCGAGCTCTTATCAGAGTTCGATCGAGATTGGATCCGACGGGTATGAGCAGGTATAAGTCGAAGTTAACATAGTTTACAAGTTCTCTTAAGCTCGACACTCAACGAGTGCAGAGATTCTGATCGCGGATTGGTAGCTTCAAGATCTGGCTTGAAATTACGACAATGAGCTCGATCTAGGCATCTGAGACTGAAGAAGGAGATCAGTTTCGTGATGCCTGAATTCTCGAATCGTCCTCGATGAATTCGATGCGAAGCCGGGGTCTGAATATCACATTCGCAAGCAGAGGAATGCATCGAGAATCTACCATTCGATCATAAGGGATTCCGGGCTCCCGAATCGCGTAATCAAGATCACCGTGCTTGATTACGCGGACGGCTCTCTCCTCTTGACGGAAGCAGTCGGTGATTGATGATATAAATCTGATAGGTAATTCCACTGGTGGGGAGAATCATCACCCCTTCCTTAATCGAGAAGTCCCCCTCCTCAAGTTCCCATGACTTCCAAGGAGACGCTGTGCTCGAGAATGTCATTTACAGCCTCCCGATGTGATCTGTTTACGATGCGTCTGAAGAGCAAACCTAATTCATCATTGAGTATCCTCTTTATGAATCTCCGATGCTCACATACCCTAAGACAATGTTTTTTATGGTTCTCTGCAATGGACTTTCCTTTGCGGACGCTGTCTTTCCCTACCCTTTCCCGAGTCTGTCCTGTATTTATTTATTTATTTATTTCTCACCGTCGTTTTCCTGTACTATGGAACTCCTTGAGTTCACTCTTCCGTACCAACACTCCCGTAAAGCGATAAAAGAACCCAATCTGCACTGTAGTCACTTAGCAATCCAAGTGCCAAGCCACCCGGACCCACACTCGAGCTGCCATGGCTCGCGTGCTCGAATGGGAAGGCGCAGAGCAATCTTTCTAATTCCTTGTTTTACAGGCTCGAAGGCTCGATTGGACCCGAGGGATTTCCGAACGACGATGGCTGGGCCACTCAGCAATCCCCACAAACGGATGGATCACGACCACTATTGAGGGTAGTTCTCAGTAATATTCGGACTGCATACTCCCTCTTCCACGAACGAGAGGCCATACGTCCAGGATATCAGCAACAGCGTTGACACACCCCGACGTGGCCCCACAAGTGTTTGTTCGTCTCCCTCCTTGACCGTAACCCCGAAGGTCTCTGCGAAGAATACAGTGCTCGATTCGCCGCTGAGAAAACGCTCCGACGAGCCACCATGCGGAATCAAGGTTTTCTATCCCCATTCTGTGGATATAATCAGCATATTCGAGAAGATTCCTCAGATTCGGAGGGAGATATCATTCCTTGGCAGCGTGTAAAGAATTTGTAAAGTAAGACGAGCTACATACAATTATTTCTCCTTCATGCACTCGTCTCATGCTACGCGGAATATGTCGCAGGAACCGCCAAGCATTCCTTCCGCGAGGAGGATGTCAGCTAGGTCATTACTCATGACATCCGATCGGGATAGCTGGGTCGCATTCATTCTAGATGTCTCAACATTTTGAGATCGATCCCCATCATCTCTCTCTCCATCGACTTGTGTTTCACTCGCTGATTACGTATCGGAAAATGTATACTATCCAGAAGGAGGAAGCTCTCAGTTCGAGTTCACAGTTTTAGTCCCCGCACGGGATTGAGGAACCTCGGAAGGATCTTAATATTACGGAGAAATAAAAAAGTATGGTACTTTTCGAATCGATAAATTTTGAGGCATGTGATGAGAGTCCGGCCGAGAATTCTCGATGAAGGAGGAGGGTTCGCAAGGCGCGGGGGGCTTCAGTTATGTCCTTCCATCTGATCGCGTACATTCCAGCAGCAGGAACATTACTCCCTTCCCGAACGGAGACGCGATGTGTTTCGGAGCTCATTCGCTTCTTTCAGATATGGTCTCGATACCCAAACGCGAAGCCACGAATGCGGTTATGTGCCGTTTTTGAATTTGGAGAATTGCCAGATTGTGAGAAACAATCGAATTCCGAATCGGTGTCCCTCACAGCGCTGTCTCGTCGTCCGGTAGAGGTCATCAGAACTTTGTCTCGTTCCGTTCGATAAGCAACTCGCTAATCTCGAATGCCACAATGACCTTCAACCAGCAGTCTATTTTTTTTGGATAGAAGTCCCGTAAGCGTTTCGGTACCGACGGTACCAATCGTCCCACTATGAGCCTATGTATACTACAGCGCTCGCTTTCTAACTCCGCGCCAAGTTTGTACTCTGGGTGGATTCAATTGGGTGGATAGGGCGGATAAAGTTCGCATCGGATTTCACAGTGCGAGGAAAGTTACGAGAACGGAAAAGAATGAAAGTCGATCACCGCGAGTAAGATCGCCATGATGGGGAAGTATTTCGTAACTTCAAGAAAAACAGGCCGATTCCCCTTTCTCAGCTTGCTGTGATCCTTCCACTCGGGGGGAATTGTGTAATTCTCTTGCCTGAGACGGAAGGATTCATTCACCATTGTCGCGAACTCTGCTCGTTTGAATCGATTGAGGGTATTCGATTATGAAAAAAACATGTGCAGTCTTCGAAGCCGTCAAGGAGGTCTGGACTGACACATAAGCCGGCTTACGTCGGGAAACATGGACGCAGCGAAAACCTTTGGACTCCTCCTGTCGGGTCAGAGATCTTTGGGGAATCAGTCAATGGGGGAATTTTCGGCTTCGCTTTCCTCGAGGTAGCTGGAGAAGCAAGACGCCTGGACAACAAGCATCTCATTCGGCGGATTGGGGATCAACTTCGTTAACTTGAGCTCCTGAGAGTTCAGGGACACACCCTGCTCGGAGCTGTCCGAATTGTTTACTCTCTGGGCGTCTCACAGCCAATGGCGAGAGATTCTCTCCGAGTCAACTCCGTTGTCCTTAAGACTCTCCCGATGCGACGAGCAAGATATGAAATGTCTACCTCCCTCGAGCACGTCTTCCTACAACGGCTGCTGCTCCTATTTCTATACGCTAGTTTTAGAAGTTCCTGTCCGAATCTTATTCCTCGGAGGAGGCTCTAGACAGTATGACTTGACTCTATGCTCCCTATGTGAGCTGACTCCATCCTTCTCGTTGTTCCATTACCGTCCGATGGGAAGCCACGTATCGCGAAAGGAGTCCAGACGTCCTGCAGAAGTTTTGTCGATCCAAGTCCAGAAGCCAATTTCACTGTTTGCTCTGAGCTAGCGAAGACGGCTGGCGGAATCTCATTCAGGAATCAGACTGGAACTAGAGACAGCACCGTGTACCATGCGAGGACGCTCGCATACCGGAGAAAAGTCTCGTTTTTCGGGGAAATAATTATTATAATTTGCCGAAATCGTCAATTAAGTGCGTGAGCTCGTCTGGGTCGCGCCAGAACGTCGAACGATCGGGAGACGAGCGTCTAAGAAAGTCTAGCGATCTGAGACGATTCTCGGAAGGTCAAGCGCGACCGGTGCTGGGTTTTACCTCCATCAGATTCCGTGAGCCTCTCGGATGAACTTTTTCCCAAAGGGCAAGTTCGGGGGGAAGGATGGGGGTCCACTCCGCTCCGCATTGTCCATATTACCTCAGTCTCTGGCGAGCCGAGCTCCGCGGGAACTCACAAGGATGGAATGATGATCTGTCAAAGGATGAATGCCCGCAGATTTTATTCTTCCAAATACAGTATGGAGTACCGGAAAGTTTGGGCGATGCGGGATCGGGACTTGGAAGTCTCATCCTACCGATATCGGAGAGCCAGTGCTTTCTTACCAAGTGCCCATTCAAGCGCCGCGTGAAAACCCAATCAAGGAGTTGCACCTCCCTCAGCCAATTTGTCAGTCGAAGCCATCCATCAGCTGGAACGTCCTGCCTGGGAACTCAAAATCGATATCCTGGGCCGC